CTCCTAGCTCTGATGATGTTCCCTAGATGGGTAATGAGATGTCTGGAAGAAAGCAACCCTCAGAGAGCACCAAGGACCCCACAGTTCTCCTCCTCCTCTTCCTCTTCCTCCTCCTCCTCCTCCTCCTCCTCCCAACCCTCTCTCCCTTGTAGCACAGATAATGTTCCCTAGACGGGTAATGAGATGTCTGCAAGAAAGTAACCCTCAGAGAGCACCAAGGACCCCACAGTTCTCCTCCTCTTCCTCTTCTTCTCCTCCTCCTCCTCCTCCTCTCTGCAAACCCCCCTCCAAGCTCTGATGATGTTCCCTAGATGGGTAATGAAATGTCTGCAAGAAAGTAGCCAAGCTCAGAGAGTAACAAAGACGGCACAGTCCTCCTCCTCCTCCTCCTCCCAACCCTCCCTCCCTCGTAGCACTGATGATGTTCCCTAGTTGGGTCATGAAACGCCTACAAGGAAACAACCCAGCTCAGAGAGCACCAAGGACCCAAACTCCTTCGTCCTTCTCTTCCTCCTCCTCCTCGCAAACTCCACTCCCTTTCTAGCACCGATGGGGTTACCTGGTTGGGTCATGAAACGCCTGCAGGAAAGCCCCACCCGGGTCAGAGATTCCCCAAGGACCCTCCCAACCCAGTCCAACCCTCGGCTGCCAATTCCCTGCCCCGCGAAGCCAGAGAGAGGCCGTGTTCGTGTCCTCCGTTTCCCTTAACTTCTCTTCCCCAGTGATCGACATCAAACTTGAAAAGCCTCAAGAGCCGCCAGTCAGCGAAGGAGGCTGCTCCTGCTAATAGTGTGTTGGGGTTTTTTGTTTTTTTATTATTTCTGTTTTTCCTTCCTCCCTTCCTTCCTTCTTTCCTCAAACCATCACTGTCTTCTCCCTCCCTCCCTCCCTCTCTCCCCGGGACAGACCCCTCTCGACAGCCGTGTGACGATTGCCTTGCCTCCTCCTCTTCCTCCTCCTCCTCTTCCTCCTTCCCCGCACCACCTCCTCCTCCACCGCCACCAGTCAACCCCAGCACGGATCCTCATCGCTGCCTGTCTCGTGAAGATGACCCCCGTTAAGCTCCACCAAGCACAAAACGAAAAACACACACACACACACACACACGAAAAAAAAAGTCGGTGTCTTCATTGCATCCGGAAGGAAAAGAGGAGAGCGGAATTTACAAGAGCCCAAACCACCCCGACCCGGTAATTCCAGTCGTTCTCGAAAAGTTGAGTCCAACTTTTGGGTTAAGGTCTGTTCCTTTTTTTTTTCTTCCTTTTTTGGCTTTTGACAAAGAGAATTTAAAACGTTGCGCTTGTCAAATGGATGGAAAGTCCCGGGAGAAGAAAGGTGATGGGGTAAGGGTGGCACCTGCTTTCGCCGGCAGGGTAGAAGACGCCCGTCGCAGAGTCACAGAAGAGCCAAACCCAACGAGAAGACCACGCTGGCTTTTTTCCAGTCCAACGTTTTTTTTTTTGCTTTGGGGGGACAAGCAAAACTCCCCAAGATGGCTTGTTAAAAAACCGTGTGTGGTTTACTACTTTTAAAGCGCCAACAAACCATCTTTCGGCATCGGCTGGCGAGATGCTGTTTTGTTTTTTTCTCTTTTCTTTTCAAGATTCACACGGTTCCAGACCTTCCGTGTGACACCCCACTTAAGGGCTTAGAAAAACCCTCTCTCGGTTCCTTGGAGAAGCCCCACAGCTGCACCCCAGTCTCTGGTTGGGGTTTTTTTGGTTTGGTTTTGGTTTGGGTTGGGTTTTTTTTTTTTTGACTTTCTGGGAATATTTTCAGAATTGGGCACCTTGTACGGTGGGTGGGCTTGGAAAACAGGTCGGGCCTGTTTTGAAGAGAAACGACGACCGAAGCGAGATCCGTTTCGAACATAAGAGGCACTTAGACGAACGACCAAGCTTGTAAGTTCTCCTGTAAAGTGAGGAAGGAGGACCAGGATAATAAATGAGGCCGTTTTGGCAGCTCCGATCTCAACCGGGGAGGCAGGGAGAGTGATCAAAGTACGTTTTAAAAAGCCCCTCTCGAAAGGTTGATGGGGGTAGGGAGGTTGCATGAGATGGAAACGGAGCTTTCAATTATGCAGGCTGTTGCCTTTACTTTCAGCATTATTACTGTTTTTATTTTCTTTTTTTTACATTCGGTCTTGAGTCTATATATGTACTGCATCATTTGGTTAAGTAACCGTTTGTTTAGTATTATGTTTAACTTAACTACAATTAACGGTGGTTTCCTTCAATATTTATTTTCTCTGCTTTAATTTTTTTTAGCGTGTAAGAAGGTTTTTCTCTCTGTCTTCTTTCTTTCTTTCTTTCTTTCTTTCTTTCTTTCTTTCTTTCTTTC